TCCCTACACCATGTCTCCGTTTTTAAACCTTCTAAGAAATTTGGCTTCCAGAGCTGTCTCAGACAAAGGAATCTCCTGAGACACTTGGCTGCCAGGATTTTTTTTCTGTGGTACTTTTCTCCCCTTCATAATTTCACATTTCTAATATTGGAAGTGCAACTGTTCATGTGTCAGCTGCTCCATGGCTTTTCCTTTTGCAAAGCAGCATATGAATTTTCTCTATAAATCAGTGTCATGGTACCCATAATTAGCTTTTGGCCTTCTTTTCTACTCCTTGCTCCCTTTCTTCCTTACATTGGTGATTTGGTCAGAATGGAATACTCTATGCATAGACAGACTGTACATTCCTAGCTTAATGATGTGATCCTTCCACAATCCAACTTTGAATCACAGCTTTGCAAGAATTTCACACTGTGCAAACTTATGTCTCACTCTCTCTAGATCTCTTCTTTGTTAGTATTGCTGCTATTCTGCTTTCTGCCTCCCACTGGGCATAAGTTTGGGCTAATAGTCTCCAGATGTCTCTTAACTTTCAGCTTTCCAGTTTCCATGTCAGTTTAACTTCGTATGTATTCAGTTTTCCTCCGTTAAAACCTTTCACTTTCCCTGCTTACCAGTGACCTTCTCTGCCTGCTTTGCCAGTAGTTTTTACTCTTTTTTTTTTCCTTATAATTTAAAGATGCTGTGATTTTCCACTAAATTTGTGTTTGTCAGATGCAAAGAAATTGCAAAGACATCCATCTGAAGAATTCATGTAGTAGTTTTTGAATGCATTACCTAGACTGACAGAAGTAGTTCCTAAAGCAGTGACATATGAGGGAAATGGAGCCAGGCTAGCTGGTGGGACACTGGTGCAGGTCATTAGATATGTTTGTATTTAAGCCCATCTGTTAAGCTTGCTTTTATGAATTATGCCTCATTTTGCTTCTGGCTCTCATGGAAGGGTTGCTGGAACTTGCGGCGTGGGGAATGCAGACCTGCTGCAGCCTAGGAGGAGCAGGGAGAGCTGCTGTGTCTCAGACATGAAATCTGTCTGGAAATATTAGGCACAGAGGGGGAGCATGCTTCTTCCTCTAGCTGTTCGTCTTCTGCGCATTCCACATTGACCCTTCTGCCTGGGAGGGGACGGGGGTGGCTTTGCTGTGGTTTGTGACTGATAGGATGCCAGGACTCCGTGGGCCATCCTGCCCTGTCTGCTCCTGTCTGCGAGCAGTAGTCTTGGCTGCACATGTGTGGAGACTTCTATTAACTTTTTCCTAGGGGGTCCAAGTCATTCTTAGGTCATCCTCATCTGTTTAAATTCTGGTGTCGGAGTTTGACTCTGGGAGCTGCTGCAAATGCTAGTCAGTGCACTAAGACCTCTCTGTAGCTGATCAGTCTGAGGAGGCTCCGCTTGCTTGTCCTATTCACTCATGTTGCAGCTGATCCTGAGGGTTGTTCATTTATGGTTAGAGAGTGATTTGCCTTTGGACTCACTGAACATCTCCCAAAAAGTAAAGAAGTCTTAGGAATCCCCAGATTGATGTGGTACAGCACCTTCAGCCTCTGTGCCTGGATGACTTGGGGTTGACAGCAGCAAATTCTGTCTTCGTGCAGGATTGCATGCATTCCTGAGGAGGCAGACAAGGTGGACTGTCTCCAAATACCCCTTGTGGATTCTGGGGTTGTGCCTTCCTCTGCCACTACTTTGGCAACTCCTTAGAGGCCATGTGTTATCTATGAGATGTCCCCTACCTGTTCTGAGGGGAAGGTCTCACTGGAGTGTTTGGCTCGTTGGCTGTTCCTTGGGAGTGTTCTGCTTTGTGATGCTTTTTGATACGCGCACACATACATTTCTCTCCTCTCTTCTCCCTATGTGTGTACATCTCAGGTCGTCACTGTGAAAGTGTAATAGATGTGTGTCCCCGGAAGCCTTGTCAGAATGGAGGTACCTGTGCTGTTGCCAGCAATATGCCGGATGGGTTCATCTGCCAGTGTCCTCTGGTAAGCATCGTATCCTGAAACTGGATTGCCTGCCTCAGCTGTAGAGTTCTCTGGCTATGGTCTCATTAGTTTACTGGTCCACTGTAGGTGAAAGTTATCTTTTCTGTACTACTTGCAAAGCTGTGTCCTTGGATACTCTTTACCCACATCCTTTAGTTTACCTACTTAGCTGGGAAACCTAGGGCTTCCAGGTGCCCTGGGAGGGTGATGCTGCCTGTTCCTACCTCAAACAATTCTGCTATTAAGGAAGGATAGCTGGCTTTTCTGTCTTAAACCTAGCATTAAATTTTGACGATTTTTTTGCTATCCTGTGTTCTCTGTGCTTACTGCAAGATTCCCCTTGTTCATGGCTCTTCTAAGTCCATTTCAAAATGTAACGGAGCCTTGTAAATTCCTAGTTTATCCCTGAGGCTAGATCCAGAAAATCATGGCTCCTGCAATGAGGCTAGAGGAATTACGGGGGAGAAGGGGTTTGCACGTGATACCTTGCCTCCAGCCTTCAGAGCGTTGAAGAATAAGTTTGTGAGCCTGGTTGTTTTGCCTTTTTTTTCCCCTTTAGGGTTATTCTGGAGCAAAATGTGAGTTCAGCAGCCATAGTACTTGTGGACAAGTGAAATGCAAGAAGGGGGAGCAGTGCATCCAGACATCTTCTGGTCCACGGTGCTATTGTCCCAAGCTGTCTGTGGGAGAGGAATGCCAGACAAACACGGGTTGTGCCAGTGCGCCCTGCCAGAATGGTGGAAGCTGCCACCCTCATTCTCAGCCTCCTTACTATTATTGTCAGTGCCCTGTTCACACCCAAGGCAGCCAGTGTGAACAGCCCGTAACATTCAGCCCAGAGCCCCGAGGATGTTTGGATTCCCAGTGTGCAGAAAAAGCAAAAGATGGCTATTGTGATGAAGACTGTAACACTCATGCCTGCCAGTGGGATGGAGGCGACTGCTCCCTGACAATGGAAGATCCTTGGGCTAACTGCTCCTCTTCATTGCGCTGCTGGATGCTTTTCAATGGACAGTGTGACGAGTTCTGCAACACGCCCGAGTGCCTGTTTGACAATTTTGAATGTCAGCAAAATAGCAAAACATGCAAGTAAGGCTTGATCCTGAGAACGGTTTCTCTGTGTCACTAATATATCTCCTGCTAGCGCTTTCAGTAGTCGGTACGCTTCATGCCTGCTGCTCCCATCTCTTCTGTTGTTTCTGTTGCTGGTCCTTGGTTTTGCTGAAAGTTTGACATCAAGGAGTTTCCGCTGCTTTGTGTACTTTTCGTCTATTTTTGGAAAGAAGTTCTGGAATTTGTATGCTATGAACTAAGCTGATAGCCTGAGCAATGGTAATGTGTTAACCTGCTTGATGGATGTGCCCTGCTTTCTGTGGAGGCGTTTCACCTTGTACTAGATTTTAATAGTACTGCCTCCTATCCTGAATTTCACTCCATACCAGCAATACCTGTATTTTTATCCTAGCTGTATTTGCTATCTCTGAATGTGTTTTTCAGCTTGTTTGTCCTGGCACTTCTTTCTCTTCAGTTATTTGTGATAAATGCTACAGCTTTGCTGTGATGATTCTCCCTTGGTGAGGCAGGAGGTGTTATAGCTTTATCTTAGTAAACAGAATAAGCAGTTCTCTTTCACTGGTACCGGAATTGAACCACGTGTCCTTGGGGTGTTCTGTGCTTCCTACTTCCACCCTGCCAGATTGCAAGCTTATCCTGGGGTTATATTTCTTCTCCTTATATCCTGAATATGAGTGTTATTTTACCTCAAACGATTATGAAGAGTGTAAGGCCTTGGCCCCTAGACTGGCCCCTAGACTGTACAGAATGTGTATGTCCTATATGCTGCCTGTAACCCTTTCACTGTTCTAGGTATGACAAGTATTGTGCAGATCACTATGCAGATGGCCGCTGTGACCAGGGCTGCAATAGTGAGGAGTGTGGCTGGGACGGTCTGGACTGTGCTGGTGACAAAGCAGAGAAGCTGGCAGAAGGGACGCTAATAATTGTGGTCTTGATGCCCCCTGACGAGCTGCTGGGTGATGTTCGCAGCTTCTTGCGCACTTTGGGAACTCTCCTGCACACCAATCTGAGAATCAAGCTGGACTCCCAGGGAAACCCCATGGTATTCCCATACTATGGGGAGAAATCAGCAGCACGGAGTCGGCGATCGCTTGTGGTCACTCGCAAGCACAGAGAACTAGAGCAAGAGGTCATCGGGTGAGTGGATGCCTTTGCGTTCCTCTGGTCTTGTTATGCTGGTAGCTCTCTGGGGCATTCTGGACCTTCTGGGGCTGTAGCCCATCTGTGTTTTTATGAGCAAATGTAAAGCTATTGCACCTGCCAAATTCGGTGCTGGGGTGGAAAGATTAACTTAAAAGGCCACAGTTTAACCTAGTGCTTTGGCAAAAGTTTCTGCTGCTGACTTCTTTGCCCTTTTACTGTGTTTCTGCAGCACCAGGGTGTTCCTGGAGATAGACAACCGTCAGTGTGCAGAGGATTCGGAGCAATGCTTTCAGAACACAGAAGCTGCTGCAGCTCTCTTAGCTGCTCAGGCCATCAAGGGCATGTTGCCCTATCCTTTTGTGTCTGTCCAAAGTAAGTAATTGCAGAGGGAAAATGGCTTGTGGAGGAAGGCAGTCAGTAAACGAGCTTGCAAAATTCATGCTCAGATTATTGATCATGTGTCTCACTGTTCAGTATGGTTTCTGGGAGCTAATTTATTCGTTCCCAGTTATAGAAGTATGCATGTACAATATACCTATTCTGCTCTGAGAGGACATCTGGTTAGTAAGGCAGGGCATTTAAGTTTGGAGCCAAGTCATTTTAATACCTGTAGTAATTACCTGAAACAGTAATCTCTCATGTACTGCAGTAATGTGTCATGCACTGCAGTGATCTTGGCTGCACTAAAAACCATTAATGTGCTCTAAGCCATGAATTCAGTGAAAAAGGTGCCATTGGTGGGCAGGGGAAGGCATTCCTCAGTATCCAAGACGTTTTGTTCTCTGGCAATATGTAATCCCTTTGATTTCTGCTCCCCTCTCCCTCAGTCTGAGGCTCAGCTGCAACCTCGTACTAGATTGGTAATATCACTATTTCTAGTTGGGTCATGCTCATATCTTTGTGTAGATCAGCGCTCTCTACACTGGTTCAGGGTGGCTGTCTTCAGCTAGCAGGACTCTTGAGGAAGAAGCAAGATCTTCCGTTCAGCAGTCATATACTCTAAAAAATACTTTGAGAAACAAGATCAAGAGAAGCCAGAAAGACAGGATGTATTCTTAAAACAGTTGCAGCAGAGCCTAAACTTCCTCAAGCCTTTGCTCTAAATGCATCACAGTGTAGAGACAATACACACTCTGTGGGGAAGACTCCGAGTGAGAAAAGAAAGTATGTGGATTGAAGATCATTGTCTCCACTTTGTTAATCTCATTGTATTTTAACTGGAATTTGTAGGTGAACCCTTGTTACCACCGAAGACCCAGTTGCTTTACCTACTTGCTGTGGCAGCTTTGATCATCCTCTTAATCCTTCTCTTGGGTGTGATGATGGCAAAGCGTAAGCGCAAACATGGTTCGCTCTGGCTCCCAGAGGGCTTTATTCTGCGCAGGGATCCTAGTAATCATAAGCGCAGGGAGCCAGTTGGGGAAGATGCTGTTGGACTCAAGTAAGTTTGCATTTAGGCCACTGACAGTGTGTGTGTTAGTGTGTTAGAGGATTTTGAGAACGTGGTGTATAAATCTTTCATTAAAGGCACTTAACTCCATAGAGAAAGCTGCCTTTTAAGCTAAAACTTCTTAGGCTATTTCTCTAAATTTTAATACATCTGTTTTAGACAGAATAACTTTAATTAACTGTAATCTATAAAATGCTAGTAAGGAATCTAATCTCCTGGTTATGTTTGGTTTTCTGACACTCTGTTTAGTTCAGTGGTTAGGTATTGTTTGCATAATTTCCTCCTGGATTAGGTGTGACATTTTTAGGTTGATGGGTGACAATGAACTTTTAATACATCTAGCTCAACGCGTTAAAGACATGACTCAGAAATAATGGAAAGTTTCAAAAGAAGAATCCCATTTATGCAGTTTTGGCTTTCCATTGAATTAACCAAGTTTGCAGTTCTAATTGCATTTAATGCCACTGTTGATTGGCTGAGATTTCTAATTTCTTGGTCCCTCTGTTTGCAAGCTACCACACTTGCAAGCATCCCATCCTTGGTCTCTGCAGGCTAGTATAGGAAGCAGTAGTAGCACCTGGTCAGCCTGCAAAGTGATGCGTTCTCCTTGTTTGTTAGAAATCTATCAGTCCAGATACCAGAGGGTAACCTGGCAGATTCTGGACCAACTGAACACTGGGCAGGTGATGGGGGACCTCAGCCAAAGAGAGCAAAGGTAAGGAGCTCCAAGACTTGAATATCACATGCTTACCACTGAAACTGCTCGTGAGGAAAACAACTTCCAGAGTATGCCCCTTGCTCAAAACCTCCCTTTGCTTAGAGGTTTGTAATACATAACTAACGATATCTAAGGAGCAAATCCTCGGGTTAACACTGCCACCACAAGCCAGTAGAGAAACCAGGTAACTTCTGTTCCAGTGTCCCCTCCCTACCCAGGCCCTGCTGCATCAAAGGGAAGAGAAGGTTAACAGTAGTATAATGTCTTGCAGTTCAGGCCTCATAATATATGGTGGGAGTGTGAAAGTTGGGAATGCCAAGCAGAGGTAAATGGAGACCATCATTAGCTTAAAACAAAAAAAAAAAACCAAACCCCCTCCGAACAAACTCAAAACTAAAAAAAAACCAACAAGGCAAGGAAAACCCCAAGAACTTTCAGTGTCTTTGGCCACTTGATGAGCATTTTGAAGCAACTGCTTATTTTCCAACTGCTCAGGCTGAGGATCAAGCCTTGCTCCCGGAAGGTGATGAGCAGATAGATCAGCGCCAGTGGACACAGCAGCACTTGGAGGCGGCAGACGTCTGTGGGAGCACGTCACTAGCCCTTACACCACCTCAAGCAGATCAAGAAGTGGATGTTCTGGATGTCAATGTCAGAGGGCCAGGTCAGTACTCTGAGTGTCCATGTGTTCTGCCAGCCAGCCACCGACCTCCCCTGTCTCCAATGGCTGGGACTGCTAACGTTTAAAAATTATATGGAGTATACAGGAAGACCAGCAGAAATTTTATTGTACTCAGGGAAAGCTCATGTGCGCTCCAGAAGAGAAAGCTGGAGAGATTGGTTCATGGTCTGTAGCACATGGAATATCATGTAACCAGGAGAAAAAGAGTTCACTTAGCAAGCACCTGTAGGAACTACAGCTATAGGATCTCCTTTATAACAATGCATGCCCAAAAGATATTGTCAGAATGCCATTGCGGCAGAAATTTGGAATGCCTACTTGTGCTGGAAATAACCCCCAGCTTCCCCAGCTGGATCACTGCAGAGATTTATGCCAGACTTCGCTAAGGACAAACTTTGCAGGGTTTATGCCTGAGGTGTCTGTTATCTGGGGTGGAAGCAAGGGTGGCCTTTTCCTGAATAAGATGACTTCTGGCAGACAGTATAGCCTGATGAGCAGTGTGTGAGACGTCTGCCTGGGAACAGAGCAGCAATGCAGCAGCTTGTTAATAATTTTTTTTAACCACTGATTTATATCCTCAGCTTACAGTTATCGATTCATTGAATTCGTAACACAACAGTGAACTTTGCGTGTTAAAAGTCTCCTTCACACGCGCACACAGGCTTGCTCTCTTTCAGTCTCAAATGACTAGATGCAGTAAGAATGCTCTGCTGCTTTCTGTAAGTGTAGCACTAAGGCTGTGTAACCTGGTAGGGCACTGGGTGGGTCATCTGGTAATAACTGATTCCTGTGTTCTGAGAGGAGAGAGTTGACCAAGAACTTTATCCTTTTTTTTTCGGAAGAGCTGCAAGCATGGCTCTTGTTCGTATGCAGAGAGGTGATTCTGATGATATTGCTGCAATTGCTTTTTATTGGATTTAGTGGGAATATTTCCATGTAATTTAATGATGACTGGACCCATTCTCTCCGTTCCCTTCTATTGTCTTTTCTGCTCATTGACCCGTTAGCTCTCCTAAATGCAAAGGGAAGGAGGGATTTCTGTGTAATGAGTGTGAGAACATAAACCATCAGTTTCTGCCAAATTCAAGCTTTTCTTTATTTCCCCTATTGAAGCTTCTAGTTGTGTGGCAGGGTAAAAGCTTTCCAAGTGCAGGCAATAATGTTCTTGAGACTTCAGACTGCTTATTTTCACATTCACTCCAAGCTTTGTCCAACAACAGCAATGGAATAATACCTGCGAGTTGCTTTCCTGCCATTCAGATACAACTGTGAAGCTTGCAGCAAGCTGCTGTAAGCTATCTCCCTCTGCGGCATCAGAAGCAAGCAGCTGAGTTACTGTCAGGAGAAGAAATAGTTTTAAAAGTCTGAGAAGTGTTGGAGTAACGGGTTAGTAAGGAGGGGTAGGATTCCTCACAGTTAAAGTAGCTGTTCATCTGCCCTGGCCACCTTCCTCTTCTTTTGCAAGTAGAGGGAAGAAATAGGCAGTTCATCTCTGTCTCAAGCAGAAGTCTCCTGAAGACTAGATGGTTCACACTCCAGTAATGCTTCGCTGCCCTTAATTACAAAGGGTGTTGAGGCTGACTGACTTGGGTGCAGGTGTCTGGGCTGGAGCCATCTGAAGCCGGGTGAGTTAGATCCTGGCCGCAGGTCCAGGTGGCAGGTAGAACAGTAGAGATCTTTTCTAGAGAGAGGAGAGGCAAGTCGAAATGCCTCGGTGTACCAAGGGGTTGTTCCCTCTCTTAATCCAGCACTTTCTGCAGTTTCTCGAGTTTAGGGGGATCCAAGGGGTCTCCTACAGAAGTATTGCCTAGAGACTTTGCCAGTGGGTTCTTAACGTTCAAACTTTCAGTATATTGTGCCTGTATGAGTCCTTCAGTTGTACCTATCTGGTGAACTTCTGGCTTTACCATCTCACTGTGAGTTTTACATTTACTCAGGGGCTGTCTTCTTGAAAGACAGCAAACAGAGGAGTTTTTATAAAATGCTGCTGTCACCTTTGTGTCCCCATGCTGTTCTTTCTCTGTGTCCCCCAGAGTGGTGAGGACATTCTTTTCACTGGAGTTATTGTGAGTGTGTAACCAGGGTAATGCAATTATAGGCATAACTGGTAACACCACCTATAATTAAAACTGATTAACTGTCCCTATTATATGCCCCTCTTTTTCAGTTACTAAAACTTCAGTGGTTCGGACTGGAATTTTCCATGCTGTGTGTCTGCCTCCAGCTGGATCCTTTTGGGTTCGTTTCCAGCTATTTCAGAGAACAAGCTTGAAAGAGGAAAAAAGACATTGTGTCCTCAGCTTTTTTTCTAGTAGTCCATCAACCACTTAATTGTGACGGTCTAGCTGGATGTGCTTTTTGCTAGCCTCATAAAACTACTCATGTGTGGCCAGCTTACAAAGCTCTGAAAAGAGCTGCACATACCTGAGACACTTTTTGGAAGGTGGCAGCTAATTTTTCCAAGGATTTAATGCATACTATAGCTGTGTCCCTGTAGAGCAGCTAGGCATGATCCGTCCAGGACTACTGCAGTGATTGAGCAAGCAAGACCTTTCCTGCAAGTTTTTTTCCCAAGGCTGTGGTGCTGGAGAAAAGGAAAGCTCCTTTCTGTGCTCCGTCTCTCTGTTCTTTGTGTTGGGGCAGTACGGAGGAGACCACAGCCTGACTTGAATACTGAGAAGTATTCATTTGGGACAAGGAAGCAGAGCCAGCAGTGGGAGGGAGAAGCACAAAAGGAGGTATAGCCTTGGCCAACGGGCCAGAGGGTCTATAGCCAGGACTGGATCTTGGAACTGAAGCCAGGCCCATACGTCAGCACTTCGCTGCCGTCCAACAAATCCTGAGAAAGTAGCTCTGCGAAAGCCTGCGTGCCCTGTGACTGTGAGCCACTAGGAGGAGCGTGCATGCTGCTGCCGCCAGCCTGGCTGGGGAGCAGCTCTGGAGGCCACAGCCCTGATCTCTGCGGGTGCTCGATGCTGTTCCCTGTGGTAGAACGATAGATTTCTAGAAAGTTTTGGAACTGCCGTAAAATAGAGAGTCAGGAAAGCCTGGTGATCAGAAGTCGGGAAGTGGGTCAGGGCATTAGAACTCTGTATGTTACTTTCAATAGGAGATCATCGCCTTGTTTATCTGCACAGAATCCTAATTCTGCCATTTCTGCCTTTCTGCAGGGCTCACGCACTTCATTCAGTGCAGATGGTGCACTGTGGATTGAGAGTTGTGCAGGCAGGGAAGCTGTTGTCTGTAGGGTCCAGGAAGGTCCCCCGCTTGTACAGGGAATAAATCAGGCAGTTGCTGAAAAATTGTCTTGAATTTCTGCTAGCAAGCCACACTGGAGAAGGAAAATTTGTGTTCACTTTTGCAGAGCTCCAGTGGGGCGCTTAGCACTGAGTGTTTCACTCTTGCTGCCATCTTAGTCCCTCTTATTTTCCAGGTGCCTACAATGTGTGTGGAGTAAAGCAGTAAAATCAGTAAGCAAGCATTAGTGTCTACAGTTGGAGTCTTTGGTTTTAGGTAATGAATATGCTGTAAAGTTCAGTGTGTGCTGAAACTGAAGCACTTGGCATTTGATAGGTTGCTGAAAATATATGGAGATGTTTCATTATCAAGGGTGAAAAATAAGCAGCATGAACTAGTCTTCCTGGACCACTCTCTCTGATCAGCAGACAGGGAGGGGAGGTTCTTCCAAGGGAGCTAAGTTAAATTAGAAGTTTGGAGGAGCCTTTCTCCTTCCAGTGGCAATGGAAGGGTCCTGGTTGGGTGAATGTGAATTTAGCCTTTGTGGATGTCCCATCAGTGTGAGCCCATCACTGGAGACTTGTGGAGAGACACAAGTATCTTTCAAAGCACTCAAACTGTGGTGAGACTTCCAGCAATTTGTAGCTGCGGACAATCCATGCTGCGATGGAGGGCGGGGTAGGGAACAAGGCATTGCATATGTGTAGAATGCTACTGGTACACCAGTGAATAATACTGGATTAGATCCTGTTCCATGGTCCCTTCCTAATGGTGTACTTCTGTGGAACTACAGCGTGTGCTTGATCAGTTTGTTTAGGGCTCTGGTCATGGATGTTATTAAAAGCAAAATGAGGCTGGTTCAGGCAGTCATACTGTGGTGCTTTTCAGCTTTGAGTGCTTGACTCACAACTTCAGGGTCCTTCTAATGAAGACTTCGGTGTGTAATAGATGTAAAGGCTTTTGTCTGCATTTCTCTTCAGGTTACTATCTGCAAAATGCCACCAATAATCGGTGGCTAGTTGTCCAGTAATTTTTCTCTGTAAATGGTTTCTTTTCTCCAGGTATGTGATTAGAACATCCACGTGAATAGTTATACTTAGTCATCTGAAGTCTTTGATTTTTATAGCCCTTGTTTCTCTTTAGGAGCTTAGCTAGCCTTTACATTTTGAGGATGTTTTTCACTTTAGCAGCAAACATTTTTTGTTTTATAATGATCTTACTTATTTGAGAAGTATCGTAAGTTCTGTTGGGATTGCAGTAAGTATTAAAGTCCTGCTTGGAAGGAAAACAACTCACTAACTCTGGGCTTTAAGATAAGAGATGACGTCTGAGTTAAAGTGACTGGAGGCATTGTCTCTAGCTGTAGGTGCTCAAGGGGAGAGGATTGCGTGAGGGTTTCCCTTCCTTTGCTGTCACCGTCAGGTTGCTATGATAACATCTCTTCTGTTGCAGACGGATGTACTCCGCTTATGTTGGCATCTCTGCGTGTGGGCAGCTCTGATATTAGCGAGGATGATGAGGATGCAGAAGATTCCTCAGCAAATATAATAACAGATTTGATCTATCAAGGCGCCAATCTGCAGGCCCAAACAGACCGTACTGGGGAGATGGCACTGCACTTAGCAGCCCGTTATTCAAGAGCAGATGCTGCGAAACGTTTGCTGGATGCTGGTGCAGATGCTAATGCACGGGACAACATGGGACGGACTCCCCTGCATGCAGCTGTGGCTGCTGATGCCCAGGGTGTCTTCCAGGTACAGCAGTCGAAGAACCCCTTTTAGATTAGCTGTGCTCTGTAATTACATGAGCCCGCTCTGTTCACTCACAGCTTTGCTCTCATGCCTTCCACAGTGTGATGGCCAGGCGAAACTGTATTTTACATCCAGTTTCCTCAGGTATTCATAGCTTGAAGAACTCAGCATGCATAAATCATCTGGCATGTATTTATTTGGTCTGTTTGCCTCTGTCACCTGTTATCTGGGTCCTTGCATTTCAGTGCTCAGGCTGCTTTTTCATTATAAAGTTTCTCTTGAGTTTCTGCCAAACCCTCAGGTTTGCTCTGTAGTGGTATTGAAAAAAAACTGTCTTCCCCTGTTGTCCAGATCCTGATCCGTAACAGAGTGACGGACTTGGATGCTCGGATGAATGATGGAACGACCCCATTAATTCTGGCTGCACGACTGGCTGTGGAAGGAATGGTGGCCGAGCTAATTAATTGCCAGGCAGATGTGAACGCCGTAGATGACCACGGTAATGTGAACATGACGTACTGGGCTGGGCAAACATTTGCCATGGTGCAAGCAAGGAGGGGTGGGCTTCTGCTCTGCTGGAGTGTGGGCTGCTCATAAATTCTGTAGCTAAATCAGACACGAGGCTCTCCTGCGGAAGTCCTCCCAGCAGTAATAAACTGCAAGCTGCTGCACAGTGGCTTGGTTAGACAGTCCTGGAAGAGAAGCAGTAGTAGTACGGAGTTGGATATACTGGGATTTTCTGGACTGCAGATATGACTCTGTGGACAGGTTATTTAAAAAAATAAAAAAATACCAGAGCAAGTGCTGAGAGTCCCATTGCAGTTTGGTAACATAGGTGTATGTCACAGCGTGGTGATTTCCAAAGTGTAAACGTGACTTCAGGACATGGTCACATGCTGTGAGCTGCACTGCAGTTGTTTTCTTCCCTCAGTGTACCCTGTCTATCCTTGGTTTGTTACTGAAGTTGTTGGGTTTCCCTGCAGGTAAATCTGCTCTTCACTGGGCTGCTGCTGTCAACAACGTGGAAGCAACACTAGTGCTGCTGAAAAATGGAGCCAACAGAGACATGCAGGATAACAAGGTACAGTTTGGGTGTGCTTACCACGGCTGTCCTTCCTAACACAAAGCATCTCTTTGCTGGTTGAAGTGAGCTAAGTTCAGATTTTCTAAACTGGGTGCTCAGTGCAGGTCTTCCAAACCCAGACTGTGTCTGGAACTCTCCCCAAGTGCTGAATGTCCTGTAGGCTTTCTGATGTGGGAGAGGTGTTCTCTTCCTTGTCTGGCCAAGTCCCGGGCATCAATGCTGTCCTGCTTTTCTTGCAGAAAACGAATGCAATATGCAGGCCAGAGTGAAGTGCTGCTGGTGTCAAGCAGCTGGATTCTGCTTAGCAGAGAGCCAGATCTGGCAGCACAGCAGCAGTCACATTTCCAGGGATCTCAGTGCAGGGTGGATATGGGGGAGAAGCCTCTCTGTTTGAGAGAGTCTGCACTGTGCACACCTCCTGTAGCTTCACTGTTAGTTTTTGCTCTTAGTCTTTGATTTCTTTCCTCTGCCTGGGGTTTCTTTTTTTTGGTTTATTGTGTGTTGCTCAGTGGATTTTAGAGCTACCAACAAGCTGCAGTTCTTCACTAGGCTGTTTTAGTCCTTTGTACCTTTCCCTTATAGGGGACAATGGGAGAAAGGCACCAGATGCTGTCACAGTTCCTCCAAGGACCCATGGCAGAATAGTGCACTTCCTGGTGGGATAGTTTAGCCTGTGTGCTCCATTGCCGTGTATGAAATAATCTCCTGTTATCTGCCTTTTTCAATGGGCACCTCTCAGGGTGGGTTGTTCTTGGAGACAATGCGACACTGCATTAAACAGTGCTTCCAGATGTTGCCGCACCATTAAGCGAGTGTTAGCTGTGAGTCAGTCCCCCCACAGTGAAGCCGCTAAAATACTTATTCTCTGTGTTTTTAGGAAGAGACACAGCTCTTCCTTGCTGCTCGGGAAGGCAGTTTTGAAGCGGCAAAAATCTTGCTGGACCATTTTGCCAATCGAGACATCACGGACCACATGGACCGCCTGCCCCGAGATGTGGCCCAGGATCGGATGCACCATGACATAGTGCAGCTTCTCAACGAGTACAATGTGGCGCACAGCCCCGCTGGGCACCCTGGCGCCATGCTGAACTCTGCCCTCTCCCCAGTCATCTGTGGCCCGAATAGGTCCTTCCTCAATCTGAAGCACGCTTCGTTAAGCAAGAAGTCACGAAAACCGAGTGCCAAAGGCATCATGCCCACGAACCTCACCAAAGATGCAAAGAGGAGAAGGAAGAAGTCCCTCAGTGAGAGCAAAGGGCAGTTTTCGGAGAGCTCAGTGACCCTGTCACCAGTTGATTCCCTAGAATCGCCCCATGCTTTTGCATCTGAACCAACATCATCTCCTGTGATGCCATCGCCGGGGGTGTTACACTCGTCGCCCAGCTCACTGCTGACTGCTCCATCAGTGCAGGCTGCGCACACGATGTCCTTCTCCAACCTCCATGAGATGCAGCCCTTGGGACGTGGATCCAGCACCGTGCTCCCGTCCGTCAGCCAGCTGCTTTCGCAGCACAGAACCACCCCTCCTAACAGCGGGCTTGGCAGGCTCCGGGGCCAGCCAATGTTTCCACCGAGTGGATGAACCGTATGGAGGTGAACGAGTCCCAGTACAACGAGATGTTTGGCATGGTGCCGCAGGTGATGCATTCACACCCCAGTGTTTCTCAGCAGAGCGGTTTGGTTCAAGCAGATACAAAGCACATGGGAGTGTCCAGGGAGTCTCTGCCCCCTATCATGACTTTCCAGCTGGTTCCCAAGGGTGGCATAAACCAGCAAGCACTGCCACAGCAGACCCAGTCAAACTGCGCTCAGAACATGGCTGGTCCTCTTAGCTCCATGTACCAGATACCGGATTTAGCTCAGCTGCCCAGCGCCTCATTCTCCATGGCTGCCATCCCTCAGCAGGACGGGCAGGTGGCTCAGACGGTCCTCCCGGCCTACCACCAGTTCCAGAGCTCGATGGGGAAGTACCCCACGCCTCCCTCACAGCACAGCTGCTACTCCTCGGCCACAGAACGGACTCCTAGCCACAACCGGCACTTACAAGGGGAGCACCCATACCTGACTCCGTCACCCGAGTCTCCAGACCAGTGGTCAAGCTCCTCCCCACACTCTGCCTCTGACTGGTCTGATGTGGCAACCAGTCCCAGTAACAACCAGCGCGGGCCGGCGGCCGCTCACATGACAGAGCAGCAGCGGAACAACATGCAGGTGTATGCCTGAAGGCTGGCCAAGGTGAAGCCCGATTAAAGCGGACTCCAGAACTCATGAAGGTCTTCCAGGATGGAAATGAAGAACCATTTTAGTATCCAAGAGTCTTAATGAGCCCAGGCTGTTCTTTCCTTGGAGGGACTGTGGTCGCTGTAGGCTTGTATGCTTTTATGCTAAACAGAGAACTGTAGAAGCTGGTGACGGAGAAGACCAGCTGGGTCACTTCTAACCAACTCCCATGCACCTTGGGTGTGATTGCTGTCTGCACTGGATTCTCCAGTCTGCTTTTAAATATGTTCCACCATTTCTCTGGGGAGACAGCTCTTCAGCTTAATGCATCTCATGGTCGTTTCTCCAGAAATTTAGCCAAAACCAGCTTTGTATCCTTATTTTGTTACTCCTTTTGTTACCCACATAACCTCTCTCTGAAGCACCTTCTACTAGTTCTCCTTGAGTTCAAATTGTCTTGTCCTGACACAGCTCAGAGCTGCACCCACATTCCTAGACCTCTCCTTTCTGTGGCCGCTCTTGCTCAGCAAGAGCCGGACTTCCCAGAACACCTGCAGGTCAAGTGACACCTTCTGTCACGCAGCTTCACCTTTCCTCTTCAAGAGCCTTTGTCTTCTACAAGCCCACTAACACCCCTTAGTGTTCTCACTGCCTGCCCCCCAGGTATTATGAGATTATATATACATATAGTCTTCTCCTAGGTCTTCCCCCCCGCCCCTTCTGAAAACGCTGGTCTGACCTGGTCTTCCCCCGCGGCGGCCTGTAGGCACATCTCTCCCGTGTTGTATGTCTTCCTCAAGACACGCCTGACCATTTTGACACACTACCCTCCCTGTGCCCCCGTCCTGCCAGGTGTGTCTGTGACCACCTTCACGGGCTCCCGTGCCGGAAGAGATGCCCTACAACCGATACAGGCCTTTTGGGAAAATCTTGGGATGAGCATGAGTGTTTCAAAACCTGATAACACAAGCTCCCAGCATTCTTGCACAGTACTCCCCTCCCCTCCATCCAAGGGCGGCTGTGTGTCCTGTCCTCCAGGTACCATATGCTGCCTCTTTATGGTATTATCAAGCGTCAAGGATGTCGTTACATGTTTGCGGTGTGTGTCCTTCTGCATCAGGAACAGTGTCCAGCCCTTTGAAAGTGCCCCTTTCGCTCCAGCCCTGGGGCAGGGCTGCCTTGTCTTCCCCTCCCAACAAGGAGGCTGCAGCACTGACTCCCGAGCAGGCTTCCAGCAGCAGCAGCGTGCTTCAAGCCAGGAGCTGGGCTTAAGCGGCAGACCAAATAGCTCAGAAACCGTTGTCCAATGCAGTTTGGTTAACAGGTTTGGGGCTGTCCTCTGCTCTCAGCTTCAGCCTGTATTGAGATTTCCCAACTGAGGTGCCCCACATGCTCTGTGGGATGGTAGTGCCATTTGTACTGCAGCTCCCCTGATATTTTTGGAGTTATGGAAGCCAGCTGTAGCTGACCTTAGGCAAACAGCTGCTCTTTCTGCTTTGTCCGCAAGAGTAACACTTCCCTGAAGGGCTCTGAACCGGTCAGCAGCCGAAGTGAACATTTCGAGGGATGGTTTGCTCCTACCTCTTCGGGGGAACCCTGCAGACACGCGTTCCAAAGAGATTAGGGCTGTCGGCTGCCGCCAAAGGACAGAGAAGGCCTCTCCCCTCCGAGCAGCGGCCATTCAGCATCCTACCATGTACAGTATTTTCTCCGATGTTTCTTTCCATTCTAATCAAGAGTAAAAGCTTTTTATTTCGATTCGACTCAATGGTACATGAAGGCAGGGCCTCAGGAGGAGCTGGTTCCAGGGGCTGTCCTTTTGGGCTGAAGTTTTTAATTCTGAAGTTACTGCTTTTTACGACGCACACAGCGTTCCCCGGCACGCTCACCGCAGTGTGTCCTGTGAATTTTAGCTGCAACCGACTCAGATCTCCGGGCAGGAGCCCGCAAGCTCCTGGAGGTCTGTCCAGGTACATGTTTCACTGCAAATAATGAAGTGTTGCTACATCAATGCTAAAGAAACAAAGGGCTTTTTCTCATTAGCCCCAAGTAACCAAGTGCCTTTTTATATATGTGGCTACCTTTTACAAGATGAGTGCTTTCTGTGGAATGAAGCCGGTTTCGTGCCGGGCGTGTTAATACGATGGCCCTCTGCCTTTCTTTTTTTTTTTAACTACTTGTAAAGATATCTCCTTAAGGTGGTATTTTATCTCATAAGTTGTAGAGTAACCATTCACACAGCAGCATTTTCCTATATTAATAATGGAAAATATTTGCTTATTTTTACATTTTTTATAAAAGTCTTTTATGAAAATAGTTGCTGCAAAATGTATAAGCAATTTTTATCCCCAGAATAAAGAGTATGTGCCCAGCATCTGTGTGCTGCTTCGTTTGTCTTCCTGGCTAACGCGGCACAGCCACTGGATTGTAAAGACAGGATTATAAACGAATCATCGGTGTACCATAGCTGTTCGGACCCCTGGCAAGGGAGGGCTCGTTAGGACCTCCACAGTCCACGTCAGGAGAGAGCTTTTGGGGATCAGGGGTGCTCTGTGCTGTGGCTCAGTAGCGCACGAACCTCACCACTCAGCTCCATGCAAGGGAGTTGTGCCTGGGAGCTGAAAGCAGCCTAGCTGGGTTGTGTAGGAGGAGGATTCTGGGTGTCTTCGTTAGCTGAGAGGGGGGCAGTAACCAGCAGCCAAGCAGCTGGGCGTACTGGGAAGGACAGGGAGGGACTGGGATGGAGCCTTTTTGAGGTGCTTTGAATAAGAGCTCTCGCTTGCCTGGGAGCTGGAGAAGGGCTGGGGCTTTTCTGTGGCTTTTAGAAAGGTTGTGGGCAAGCATGGGTCAGGCAGTGGTTAGTGGAGCCATGGATTCACTTGCCCTTTGAGGTCCTGCTTGCTTCCCTGGGCTGTATCTGTTCCTGCAGCTGGGAGGAGGCCCTCATCCCTGGAGCTGAGGCTGCCTTCCTGGCTTTGGCTTGGCAGCTGATGCATGAAGATGTGCGATTCTCCAGTCTCTGAAACAGGGAATCATGGCTCCTCCGTGCTGTTTTCAGACTTGAAAAGTTTGACTTGAACAATTAGAGAACAATTTGACAATGGCTGTGTTCCTGTATTTTGAGCAGGGAGGTGCCACCGAAGCCTTGGGCTCAGCCAGCGCTCACCTGGCCGGTTTCCAGCTCTCACCACGGACTTGGATGGAGCCAGTAGCTGAATTACGACGCCTCGCAGGGATAAAGCTGCTGGGGGCATTTTAAGGGTTTAATATTCAAACAGCGCTGCTCCTTTATCTTCTAGTAGAGCCAGCTTGGCAAGTACAAACCTCCGGGAGGCTTTCATCCATGTTCTCCCATAGGTTGCACATCTGTGCCAAAGTTTAGCGAGCTCTGCTGTGTCTCTGGCACAGCTGCGTTGAGTTTGCTGGTGCTCGGGCTGAGACTTGAAATTGCGTCTCCCTGGGGACAGTGCATGCCTCTTCCCCTGCCCGGGATGACGAGGGGCTTGTGAAAACTTGTGTTGCATCCAAATAAGCCTAATTGAACCACCCAGGCAGGGAGCTGGGGTATCCCTTATCTAATGGAGGAGTAATGGAGTAGCCTCAGGCTCCTTCGGGGGACGTTTTCATGTTTTTTGATAAAACAAGGCTGGAGTCTGGTCTTCTGGGTGGGCGTTGCTGTGTTTGAAGAGTTTCCCCATTAGTCAGGGCGGCTGATATCCTCTGTAAGGTTGTTTCTTTACGCCTTTGATCCCGGAGGGCGCCTAGCAAGCTGGCCGAGCCTGGAGAGGTGTTGGGGAGCAGCAGCAGCTGTATCGTGGCTGTGTGGGCGAAGGGGACAAGTCTGATCCTCCTGCCTCCCTGGGGCGAAAGCCAGACCTGCCTCTGCACGTTGGCAGGGAGCTGCTCCCTGTGGGCGTAGCAGCACTCGCGGCGTGTTGCAGCAAATGCTGCCACAAAGGAGCCATGGGAGATCCCTGGGGGCCGGAGGACACGGCTCGAGCCTGACAGCCAGAAGTAGCAGCTTCAGCCAGCTACAGGCCCTCTGTGGTGGGAGATGAGGGGCTTGGCTCTGGGGCTGGATCTTCTGCAGGTAGCTGCCTCCTGGGTAGCTCCCAGTGGCCTCCTCCAAGGGTCTTCAAGAGGACTGGGGGAAGGAGAGCTGGACATTGGCCATAGCTGCAGCAGCAGGGTGCTGGGCAGGAGGTGGCAGCTTTGCAGGAGGCCGTGGGACAGGCAGCGGGAAGAGCTTTCAAAGCTGCTTTGGTACATTAGGAGCCAACAAAGCGATGCTCCAGAGCAGCGTGGTCGAAGCAGTAGTGTAGATAGCTTCAGCTGCCTCCCGCTGGTGTCCTCTTGCACTGGGGGTGTGGAACGAGGACCATGATGGAGAAGGCTGTGCCTGACCGTGCCAAAGGGCTCGGGCTGGGGGCCAGGGGCTGCCCCCCTCTGTGGCTCCATGCCAGCAGC